CCCCAAAACCCCAAAACCCCAAAACCCCAAAACCCCAAAACCCCAAAACCCCTTTGTGGTTAGTAGGATTTGAATGTTAGGTTTTAATATTGGAGATGAAGGAGTCATTGGGTTGGGGATTGTGGTTACTTGTGGACTGACATTAGTTCTGAGGTGAAGTCTCCGATTTTGTCGAGAGCTTTGGTCATTTCGGACTTGGAGTTCACGAGATTGGTGATTCTGAAGTGGTAGGTTCCTTCTTCTTGTCCGAATCCTGATCCAGGAACTATCATGATTCCTGTCTTGCTGAGAATCTCCAGTCAGTATCTATTTCGATTAAGGTTAAGATGTTACTTGAGATCGGGAGATAATCCTTCTTGGTGGGCTAAGTCACAGTAAGATTGGGGCAACCTGATTTGAGGGAAAGCATACATGGCGCCCTCGACTTCGTTACAGGTGATCCCTTCAATGCTGTTCAACTTTTCTGTAATCAGATTAGCCCTATACTTTAGCCCATTGAAAATTTCTTGTTCTTGTGTTTGATAAAGATCAAAAACTTCCTTTGAAACGGTGTCTTTAGTAGGAGGATTGACCTATACCTTAAAATTTTTAATTTACCATCAATCCAACTCCAATTTGTCCAATGATATTTGAACACAAAGCCACCGCTTTAGATTTATACATCATTGCATTCGCAAAGTCATTAATATTGTGAAGTTCCATAAATCCACCTCTGAGGCCACACTCTCCATGAAGTCCCTTTGATAGTGAATGAAATGAAGCAAGTTCAACATCATCGTCATATGGACTACCAAGTTCTTTAAGAGCTTTTCTGACTGAACAAAACTCTTTATCAACATAGATATTTCTTTGGTAAACTTCATCTGCCAACAAGAAGATTTGCTTGTCATGGGCAAACTGAATCACTCTGTTCAAATCTTCTTGTGTGAGAACTTGTCCTGTAGGATTACCTGGGTTAATGACTACCATTGATCTTACGTTGATTCCTTTATCAGTGGCTTCAGCATAAGATCTCTCGAGCTCTTCAAAAGACATTCCCCATCCTTTACTTTCATCAAGATAATAAGGAACTTGGGTTCCATTAAATCTAGTAATGAGGGCAGAGTAAATAGGATATTGTGGAATGGGGATCATTATCCCATCGTTCAAATCATTAATCAAGAGTTTCAGCATAAGTGTGATTCCTTCGCTTGCTCCATTTGTAAGATATACTTGGTCTTCATTTACCTCAACTCCATCGCGTTTTTCAATAAAAGACTTAACTTCCCTCATGATTAGCCTAATTCCTGTACTATCTGAGTAAGCTCCAGCTGCTCGATTCGTCAGGTTGCTTAAGTAGTATTCAGCTCTATCTACCGCATCAGAAGAGAAAATCTTTCGGCTCCTCTCAGTATCATCTATTAAGCACGAAGCTAACACTTCTCTATTGAAACTTATTGGCTTTTGGCCCAAATTTTGAGGATTTCCAATATTTAGCTGGGTGATCTTATCGAATGGGAATTTTACTCCATCTTCCATCTGTCTTTGCATCTTCATTGCTTTCTCAGCGATGGCACCCCTCACAGCATATTCAGAGCGGATAATTGGAAGAGGAATAGTATCTTTATTGAGACTATGGTTATAAGTCCTAAAACGATGATTAATTTCTGCTAAAACCCAAAATCTCTAGTAAGTGCTTAACTCAGGAAGAAATCTAGCGTAATAGATAAGTGCTTCTCTAAACATTACCTTCAAAACCTCTTGGAGCAGATTCTGCCGATCATTTATAATATTTAATGTCTAAAATATTATTCTTTTCCTGATTCAAATAGAATAAGGAGTAAAGGGGTTTTGGGGTTTTGGGGTTTTGGGG